AGATACTGATCGTCATGGCAGCAAACCGATAGCAAGGGCAATCATGCTGTCACTTCTTATCAGACCAGAATGCTTGGAGTAGTATATACGCACAGTTCGACTGTGTACTCTGCGTGTTGACCATATAGGTTCGCTTTCTTTTCCCGTCCCTAAAAGAAAGTTCAATCTCTATCCTCTTTACACATTCTTACTTACCTTGTATGCAATATGAGTTTGACAGCGATCAAGTTCGCTTCAATATATTGCGCTGAACAATGATGATGATGATGACGATGGTTCGAGGAAACTGACAGATGCGATTTGATTACCAAGTTGGTGGACTACATGCTGAAACGACTGGCCCAAGTGCTCGAAAATATAAATGAGGGCAAACAGCGTGTTGACAAAAACCTGTATCATGCCTTTGGACCATTTTAGTAAATAAAATCTAACGATGCTTTTTTCCACAGAGGTTTCGTTATCTTACAATTGCTGCGCTACCAACTGTCGTCGAAATCGAAAAATCGTACTTCTATAGGGCATACAACTAAAAGAAGCATAAACAAAAGCTAATATTAACACAGATATGATGTCTGATGTGGGGGGTGCTGCACGAGTTTGATCAATATATGTAGTCTGTCGAGAAGCGCACACCGCGAGGAGAGGGATGGGTGCTAGGCTGTTGTAATCAATGAGGAAAATATCGACAGTAATGCTGACGCTCCTTTCGCAATTTCCGCTCGGTTATACAAACATCAACTCTGTGGTGTTTGGTATCTCAGTTTTATCCGCTGCATTTTGTAAACTCACTTATCTGGTCAGTGAATAAATAAAGACTGAGGTAGTCTGAGGATAGGATTTGATGAGAGGTTTTGATTTTAGTCGATTGTTCATCTGAATACAGTGAACCGAAATCGATGAATCGCTACTGAACTCACAAGTTAGGTATGAATATCTTAAACAGCACAAATAGTGTTTTGTCGCGTTTCGTTGCTCTCTGTTACCGACGTTTTCTTCTAAGGATGCATCAGCAAGAGAGGAGAGAGTTGACTGTAACATTCCGTTTCTATCTAGACACAGTTAAGGCATAATTTGCACGAAAATAGTGATGGAAATCTTTCACTTCCGCAGCGATTGCGTATTAGGTATGAAGGAACAGATTCACGGCGGATGGAACGTTACAATCAACGACCGGTGAAGCCCCACAGGAGTGTTCCCAATTCACATATTTTGATGGAAGACAGAAATGCGGCTGTAACAGACATTCTGTACAAAATAGATACTGAATTGACTCACCTCGCTGAAATGGGGCCGTAGAATGCCAATCAGCATAAGGGGAGTGTGTTTGTCGCCTGGCCGATACGTAAATGTCTGTTCGGTCCAAATCCAAATCGACAGACCAAGGAAACCCGACGCGAGGACTGAGCAGAGGCCAACTGGTCACTCGATTGACCGGGAACGGTGTGGAGGATAGCCAGGACAAGGGTAAGGCGGACGGAGGAACGAACGATAGTTGAGGCTGATCAATCAGTTCGTCGTCAACAAACTGTCCACGATCCGTGCCCGATCGCGGTCGAAAAAATGTGTGTGATGTCGAATCGTGTGGAACAGGCGAACGACGTGGGGATACGACAGACTGCGGTGAGTTGGGACTATGTATGGTCAACGGACGAGTGGGCGGGCGACTTAGGAACGATTGCGAATCGACATGGTGTTGATTGCACTGAGCCAATTGGTCAAGCAGTTCGTTCACCTGTTGCTCTAGCCGGGCCACATGGGTGGACAATCTGTCAGCGGACCGTCAGGTGAAGTATGGGAGGAAAATAATAAATAATAATAAGAAGCATTGAAGGATTAGCCACCGAAAATTGGCCGAAGGAATTCATGCTCACACACACACACACACACACAAACTTTCCCACTTTATACAACCAATAACAATGTGTTTTTATGCCGTGGTTTTAGTAGCTGTTTTTGGTTACTCATTTGGATGAAGGAGCAAAGTGAATATTGGAATGTTGAAAGCTGAATAAAGGTAAAAACAAAGAACTCAAGTGGACAAAGGTTGCAAGGATATTGAGTAGATGCATAAGTCCCACTGTTTACTACATTTGGCTGCATGAATCGTTTATGCTGGTTTGGAAGTCTCATCAAGGACTCGAGAAGGGCTTCCCTACTCGTATGTTAGGTCCTAGTTTGATTGCCCATTGTCTGTCTCATAAGCGAAGATGGATAAAATCAAAGTAAGTTGTTCGGGTCAAAACAGAACACTGGGAAACCGTCTTTAATAAGAATTCATCAAGGACGTGCACTTTCAGATAATTCAACCGGAACGGATCTGTGAAGTAGTTAGTTTTCACATATACACCGCTAGTCATTGCACTTACTGCAGAGCTATTGTCAACCAAAGGTGGCACCTTGACTGCGTGCGATGGCTTGTCCTGAGATTCTTGGAGTCCTGAACATAATCAAATGCGAAAAAGGTTCATTAGTAGAGGCACGATTAAGCCGAATCTCACGAGGTCAATCGCTGTGGTCTTGAATTACGCACGTTTGTCCCCGGAGAATCAACTGACCCTTTTCAGCAAGAGAAGTGATCTACCGGGGAAATTCCCAGCATTTGAACGTGATAGTGAGTTCTTAAACAAAGCGTGTCATCCTTTCACATCTTACGATCTCTCAAGTTTACTCCGAAAGTCTAAATATGGTCGGGGTGGTTGTTTTGAGATGTTGCAGCTAGTCATTCCTCCCATGCATCTCATGAAATGCTCCTATATGACCAAGCGTCTCAAATAGCCTCTGCTGAGGAAGACCCACTTTCTGCCTTCTTCTGGCGGAGGTGTTTTCCGGCCAAAGCGAAAGGACGAGAATCCAAAATCCGGGTATTTAAGCAAGTTGGTGAACCCATTGCAGTTCATCTAGGGGGTTGGTCAAAAACCGTGATTCCAAATCAACATAGAAGAGGAGCACGAACCACACCTTCTTGGGTTTAGCAGTGATTACCGGCTCGATTGGGCATCGGGGTGTACTGCGCACCTTGGATGTTTGACCCCGTCCGAAGGATGTATGTATGACCCGATGAACTGGACATCGGTCCCCAATAGAGTGCAGTTTTCGAACACCACCCCGATGCATTGCGGTTCAGGCTTTGGCTAGTCAAGGGTTTCGATTGTGAATTCCCCAAGAAAATTCACCTGCCTTGACCTGGGCAACCTGGCAGTATTTGGTCCACAAACAAATCGCGGAACTTTCTCTTTTTTTCTAAAGACTAGTGTACTATGACACAGTTTGGATTCGGACGTGTGTGAAATACACATACACACAAATTTGCTCAGCGACTGACACAATTCGAGCGAATTGCAAATGGTTATTGCATGTGTGAATGGATTCACAAGTGCCATTGCTTTCGGTCCGTACATACGAATACGCTGTGGTATGGGTCAAACCCTGCTTGCGCATAGTAGCAATTCTCATCGAAGGGGCTGGAAACACATGCCCACAGTTGATAGTAAGCGATTGCTTGAAATAGGGCCATCTCGGTGCAACTCACTGAATCAACTTTTTCTTAAATGAAAAACATGGTTCTGGAAAATGTTCGTTTCTCCGAGGACGAGCGAGGTCTCGCCCAGAGGAACGGCCTTGTGTATTAAGAGGAGTACCAACCGATTTTTAAGACACCTTGGTCGCGATGGTTACGGGCTGGATTGGGCGACAGAATTTGTTGGACAACCATGGGGCATGAAACGCGTTTCAGGGACGTAGTATTCGNTTCGACTGACTAAATACCAGACGACAATTAAATACGGTTTTCACACCCATACAGGTCTGACTTAGGTTAGCTGAAGGAGCCGGTCGACGATCCACAAGAAAATACTTTCGCCCGGGCAACCTTTTACTAATGCGTTAACGAATAAAACGAATTGATTTCCTTGAGATGATCACGAGTTTACCAACTTGCTTTGATTTGCACACTGTCTGGATCCAAGCAAGTATTAACCGATGATGATAATAATAACAATGACAACAACAATGATAGTAAAATGGTATTATTATGATGCAATTTTCAGGAAGGAAAAAACGGCCAGCTGAAGAGCTGCCATATAACACAACTGGGAAAGTCAGGCAGTGATGGTGGTGGGATTTGAACACACGTCCCCGGGGTGATAATCTGGTGGCATTATCACCAGGCCACCACCATTCACATTCACATTCGTGAAATTTTACTATACCTTAGGAACACTCGAGTTCGCTTCTTGTGTGGCTACAAAACCGCGATCTTCGGACTCGGTTAAACCACGTAGAATGAAGAAACACAAGCATTCTGGTTTGAAGAATGTCCTGGTTCGCAACACTTTCCCAGACGGCTGTCCGTTCATTAGTCAACAACAAAATTCAGTCGTTGTTCTCGAAAGTGTTGGATTTAGAGTACAAGCTCAGCACACGTGTGAATTATGCACGGGAATCCCGGCTACATAAAAATGTGGGTGATGCATTGGTGCACCCAGAGGATTTTCATCACTATGGACATATTAGATGGTCATACGGGAAGAAGAACGGAAGTGGCGTTATAAAACACATTAAATCGCGATGAGTTTGGCATTATTTTCACTCATCTATCCGGATACAATAATTCCTTAAACGAGATGCAAATTTTTGTGATAACCGACAAAGAACACTGGACAGTTGTTTGGGACTCGGCAGCAGTGTGTTCTTTTTGTTTCCCTGTCAAGACTAGAACCAAGAAAATTCGGACTGAATCAACACCATTAACCTCGAGCTGCGCAGCCGATGATCACCATCAACTTGCGCGATAGTGAATGTTTGGATTAGCCCATTCGGTTTTTCACAAGCAATGCACAGTGTTGAGGATCTTGGAATAATGGTGCTAACTATTAACCCGAAGGTTCGCAAATTCGAGTCCTGACAGGGACACAAAAAGTATACACTCCTGACGAGTCCCAACTAGCTGTCCAGTGCTCTTTGTCAGTCACCACAAAGATTTTCGTCGTACTTAAAAACATTTACCTCGTGGGGAAAATAAGGATCTCCCAGGGAGTGAAATTCACACCCAAAACCATCAATATTGTCTGGTGCCTGTGAGAAACCGAATGGGCTAATCCAACCAATCCCCGTTGAAATAACAGTTCTCATCCAAAACTATTCCTCAACTTCGCACGTCACTCACGGTTTTCCTTCATGCATTCGTCATTGCGCAACTGTTGCAGTCTTTTTATTAGTAATCTGAATGACACTATTGGCAAATGTTACCCATTAATGTAAATACGATGGATATTCACTATTCGCAAATGCAAAGTCTCCACCATAAATTAGAACTGTAAGAACGGTAGCACAATACTCATGACATTTCAAATTCAGTGAAACATCGCGTCTACGCCAGAGGTGTTTTAGTCCTGTGTACGCTGCTGGAACTTTGCAAATGTGGGAGGTTATCTCCTTTGCTGCGTTACCGTAATTGCTCACATATCTGCCTGAGAAGAAGAAGCATTCTTGGTCATTTAGTTTCCAAGAGGGACTAGGCGACAATCTTGCAGCATCACTTTGTACTTTGAAGATCTACGACGAAATTGAACAATGGCGAAATCGGGCCTCCTGACGAACGCAGCTGGTGGTGACGAACGATCTACTTAGTTCGGTGTAGACCCTTGCTTAATCAGAGGTATATGGGTACAGTGACCTCAGTAAGTTAACGTACTTCTGGGACATTCCTTTTCGAAAAAGGGAAACGATCAGAACTTCGCGGTCAACTAAGTCAAACGATGGATTTGAAGTTCTCGTACAAGTCTGGCAGGAGTCTGCACCTGCACGCTACCTCTGTGATGATTAACTAGAGATCGTAAAGAGCTTCACCACAGCTGGAGGTACTATCGAGAAAGCTATTTACATGAAAAACGGTGAACGTTAGAGTAGCTTTTACCAACCTGAGACACCCGTGACGCCGCATGACATCTGACTTTACCCTAAAGGAAGCACGGTCTTTGTCACGGTTTTTCACGGTAACGATATCGGGTCTTTGGGTCCCTAGGACACTAATCAGCTTTAGTGTTCTACTAGTGATGTCACTGAAGCGCTACTCATAGCGGGGAAAATGGGTGAGCACGGGCGAGGTTCGTCACAGTGATGGGTGCTGACAGTCATCTGTCGGAAACAACCACTCTGTAGCGTCTTAGATGGTTTAATCATATTTTGTGTAACCATGCCCATAGATTAATTTTGGTGTAATGCTTATACGTGCTGGACAAGGTGATCAGACAATGACTTGGCCTTCGGGTATAAAAAGGTAGGTTCAGCATTAGCTTCGGTTCATGATTCATGCCTTTCAGGCTGAGACCTAAGGAATTAGAATCTACATGGGTTGGAGACACCAACAGACGTGCATTAGACTAGAGACCAATGCTGCACGGTTTGCTGAAATCCAGTAAACCACAAGCAACAAGAACCTACAAAAGCTACCAGGGTGTTGATGGTGCAGTGATTTAGTCGTTGCCACTGGCGTGCTTTGGATCTTGGGGTCCGAGCCCCACTGAACTTAGGTGGTAGGCAACTTTGCTATCGTGTAGTTCAATACCAAGCCTGACCTAGTGGGGCTTTGTGTGTTTCGCCACCCCAAGTCCCGGCGCTGAGACTGCGGGTAACTGAACAGCAGGTCTTCGTGGCTATGGGGTCCGCCCCCTCTGCTATTCATCGCACACTGGTGCGCAAAAAAATTGTATGATGGAGCACAAAGAAGTAATATCGTCCTCGTGGTTCTCCTCTGATCGTTTTCCATAATTCGTTCACCTTTCAAAGGAGAAATTAGTCCTGTATGCAACAAATAAAGCGTGAACTGAAAAGCTAGGAAGTAGTGTACAACCATTTCTATAAGTTTTATCAAGCTAGCCTTTTGCTTTGGGTTCTTGATTTGTTGATTGGTTCAGAGACGATGTGATATTATTATTATTGATAGTAGCGGTATCATTAAGTCCAACGCACTCGGTTATTTCTAACTCAGCAGAAACGTGATGGGTAGGCTTGCCACGTTATCGGGGCGAACCACTTATCAATAGACATCAAAAATACTAACAGGTTTCCGGTTCATCTGGGGCAGTGAAAGTCATACCGACACGGTCGATGAGACGTTCGAAGTGATCCAAGCGTAAGGGAATTTAGTTTGCAATCATTAACTAGTTCCATGATGCTAGAGACAAAAAGGGAAGGCGGAGTAGTAGTAGTTGTTTGGGCCACAGAATGCAGCCCAACTAGGGATGGGAATGATATGCGCAGTTTTCCAACAGCTAGAAGACACATTGGGAGCACGGGAAAACCGAGAATAAAGGTAAGCTACAACGAGCCCGTGTTGAGCACGATTCGTCGGATGCAATCTGGGTCGGGCGACTTCGATGTATCTAGTAAACACAGTACTCTAGGCGGATGTTACCGTATGGGATTTACGGACAGAATGTGATAACACGGTGGGTAGTGGTCAAAGGAAGAGCGGTGGGTAGAGATACGGTAGAAATGGAAGCAAAAAAAGGACAACACAGCTTAAACTATTCGAGGTGGATCAGGACCAAGTGGCTAGAAGCGCTCTTAAATGAAGGATGAAGGGAAGAATTACGGGGGAAACTGCTTTGGTAAGGGAATAGAACGAGTAGTTATCTGGATAACAGTTAGTGAGTTGGTAGGCCTTGTTATGGCCAATTTCATCCTTTTATTTCTTGATTATAATAGGTGTTTCTGGCCCTTATTTGGTGGTGCTAAGAACACGGATTTGGGAAGAAGCAGCACCGGTAGAAAGCTTTCTTTGTCACACAAATTGAGCGGAAATAAGCATTCTTGAAACACCTGGGAGTGTTTTATCCCGGGGTTATAAAACTGAGGAATCAACATGTGCATGCATCGGAGAATAGCCTCTACAACACTCACGGTTGAAATGTATGAGTCAGATAAGAAAAAGCACAACCGCGTAAAAAAAAATATTGGCACGACAGACAACGTGGCAAAACTAAATAGGACAATAAGACAATGAGCTGATGAACCAAGAAGGGAGTTTGAAGATAGATCCGGGTGGGACACAGGGAAAGTTTCTACTTGCCCCGGAATCCATCAATAATCAGAGCGATTTCCGCATTCGGAAAAAGGGAAATTCAGGGACACCGGAGGGTCTGGAAGTCAGAAACAGATAAAAGTGCCGGTGCGCTCCTCTGTACTATCGAAGACATGGATGGAGAAGGTAACCAACCACAAGTCACAATCAGTAATAACAATGCGCTTTGGTCTCGCGGCCCACGGTTGTGGCTGTCACGAAGTATGCTAATTACTCGTTATGAACCGAGAGAATGGCAGCTGGTGGTTACGGCAAAGTGGTAGTTATATCAATACATGAAACAAGTTCTCGGCGAGGTCGGTAAATGGGGGCACTATGAACACACAAAGCAGTCGTGTAACGGAGTGCCCCCCCCCTCCCCAACTTAATCGTCTCTTAACTCCCCCCGGGCTTTTCGTCTGTGGATGAGCTGACAAAAATTTGGTATTAAAGCGCATGCATATGAATGAATGAATGAATAGGAATAAATCAGAACCGAACCAAAATGTGCAGAACGGTTCTCCCACCTCAATCTCTCCCCACCCCCCCCCTCCACCCCCAGAGTCGTAGTGACAGAAAATCGTACGGTGTAATCAACAACAAAATGCACCACGCTCCAGCGAGCAGGCGCGAACGCACCCGCGCGCGCGCGCGCGCGCCAAAGCACAACG